TTGTGTTACAGATTTACCCAATATAATGCATCTTTTGGTCTCTTGATCGCTGCTTCTATTGATTGTGGATCCAAGCAAAACTAAGTCCTTGACAACTTCAATCTTTTCTCCATTTATCATGATGTTACCTATTGGCCCAGTTGTGAGGATTTTAGACTTCTTCACATTGAGCTGTAATCCATAGTGAAGGCTGCAATCCTCAGACAGTGTTTGAAAGCCGATTGAATCCCCAAGCCAGCCCAGAAAGTAGCACTGTGGACTATGTGTTGTTGGTTTTCCAAACCTGTCAGCTGCTCTGCCCCTTGTGAGAACAAGGAGGCTATCTGCTTCGGCAAAAGCCTCAGAACCCAGATAGGTGGTTACGAATGGCTGCTGACGCCAGGTCAGTGAGCTTGGTTTGGATGTGAGTGAGCTAGTCCACTACGGGGTCGTCTCGCCCTCGGGATGCTGGGTTACCAGGGAGGATCCAGAACCAACCATGTAAACTTTTCTACTATTTTCCTTCAATAGTGTACATATTCCAGTCAGGGTCCATTTCCGGCTTCCATAGTCCTGTGGTAATTCCACTTGTTTTCTGTGTCCTATAATTAACCTCACAGCCATGAGTCTTTGGGACACCATGGCCTCATGCTGATGGTCTCTCTCATCTGCATGATTTGTCTTGTCTTTTTCCCATTTAAGACTTAATAAAGGTCTCTAGAAAATATAAATGATTTTTGTCTCTCCCCCCCTCCCTTACATAATAGGTTTGGTGACATTGTTAAAAGTGATGCAAATTCTTGAATGTGGAGATAACATAAGTAAAAATTACTTCAATTTTAATAGTGACTGATATATGGAAAAATAATATCTTTTTTGTTGTTGTTTTCTTTAGCATCCTCACTCCATTAACAATGGATATGTATGCCTGGACAAGAGAGCAAGCTGTTTTATATGATGGAATAATACTTGCTTGTCTTGGAATTGAAGCAGTCCTTATTTTCATGGGGATTAAATTACTCTCCCAAAAGTAAGTCCTATGTATTATGGTTTCCTTTTGAGTCTGATTCTTTAACGTGAAATATGAAATAGTTAATGATGTAAACAAGGGTGCTAGCAAAATAATGAAAAACATTTTTTTCTCATTATATTAGTTGTACTCCTTGAAAGTTTGCAAATAGATTTAAAATGTTTAAAGGGAAAAAACCCAAGCAGCTGCCCTCTGCTATCAAGTAGAGGTTCTCATTCATATGGACCCGGTAGGATGGGGTAGAACTGCCCCACGGGGTTCTGATATTGTTAGTACTATGGGAGCAGGAAGCCGGGTCTTTCTCTTGAGGAGCAGCTAGTGCATTTGTGCTGCCAGTCTTGTATACGGTACCTAGTACTTAAGCCACGGTGCCACCACGGCTCCTGTAAAATGTATGAATGGAGCAAGTATTCCACAACTATTCTATAAAAAGCAAAAAGATCCTACAAAGGAAATAACTTTCCCACTGTGTCTTTTATGTGTTACCTTTCACTGAAGATTTTTCTTTTCTCCAGGTTTTAATGTAAAACAAGTAGGATATATACCACCTTCGTCAATGCTTAGAGCACTTAATTCATTTTTACTTTAAGTACTTACTTGTTACTTAGCATTTTTATAACATCTTATTACTTTTGGAGCATATCTTTTAAAAATTAACAGGTTCGTTGACATATAAATCACATACCATATAATTCAGTGGACTAAATATATTTAAAAGAGTTGTGCAGTCATCGCCACAATCTATTTTAGAACATCTTCTTCATTCTTGTACTCCTTACCAGCATACCATTTCCCCACAACCTCCACTACCATAGCCCTGGTAACTGTCAATCTAGTTACGGTCTTGTAGATTTAACTATCCTGGACTTCATATAAAGAAAATTATACAGAAACACCCACTAAACCCCAGTAACATCCCCTTACAGAAGGGTCATGGGAAGCCAGTCAGGGTGCAGTATAGCACCGATGAAACATACAACTTTCTTCTAGTTCTTTAATGCTTCCTCCCCCCACTATCATGACCTCAATTCTACCTAACAAATCCGGCTAGACCAGAGGATGCATACTGGTACAGATCAGAGCTGGAAACACAGGGAATGTAGGACAGATGGACCCCTCAGGGCTAATAAAGTAGCAATACCAGGAGGGGAAGGGGAAGGTGGGGGAGAAAAGGGGAAATGATCACAAGGATCTACATATAACCCCCTCCCTGGGGGATGTACAACAGAAAAGTGAGTGAAGGGAGACATCGGTCAGTGTTAGACATGAAAAATAATAATTTATAAATTATCAAGGGTTCATGAGGGAGGGAGGGGAAAATGAGCTGATACCAAGGACTCAAGTAGAAAGCAAATGTTTTGAGAACGATGATGGCAACAAATGTACAAATATGCTTGACACAATGGATGGATGTATGGATTGTGATAAGAGTTGTATGAGCCCCCAATAAAATATTTTTTGAAAAGACCAAAAAACTCCAATAACAAGAAAACAAATAAAATCCACAGAAAACTCTCAAACCAAAAAAAGCAGAAAATAATAAAACTAGAACAAATTTAAAATGAGTAAAAATGAAAAACAAACAAAGGTATTAAGTTTTAACTTAACAACATTGGCATAAATGCACTTTCCAATGCACTCTTTCTGGGACCAAGGCTATGCACATCCCTGGGTCAGGAGTCAGGGGAGATTCATGGGAGGTTTAATCCATAGGGGGACAGGCAAATAGATTTTTGGTTTTCACTGTCATCCATAGCCTTCTGAAAATTGGGTGCTCAGAATTTAAGCTCTAGTACAATTTCCTTTTGCAATCTTGGATTTTACTATTTAAAATCCTTGGATCATCTAGGCTAGTGACCGCCTTCTGTGTGGATTTAGCTGACACCTCATTTAGATGGCTGCTTGTTTTAAGACAGACCCTTAAGACCCCAGACACTATTCTTTCTAATAGCAGGCTCCATCTAATTTCTTCACCTCACTTTGCCCTAGCACCCAGATCTTCAGTGATCTCTTCATGAAGACAAGTGTCCAGTAGGGTCACATCATAAGAACTATTTGTTCTTAGATTAGGACTTATGGTTAAGTGCAAAATCAAAATCATTCATATATATAAAATTTATATATGTCGCTGGTCCCCTTTAGAGACAATATTGTCATTTTATTGGAGATTATTATACATAATCCCAACATGGCATACTATTATTCTATTACGAATATTATTAATTTACTCAATGGTACCAAATTTAAAATACTATTAACATTTTCCTAAAAATTTATTTTACAGTACATTGTTCTGCTATATAATAGCCCACTGCCTCCCATCAATTTGATTCTGCCTCATAGTGACTTAGATAACAGACAACCTCATCTTTTTCCCTTGGGAGAGCTAGTGAGTTTGAACTGCTAACCCTGCATTTAGTAGCCCAATCCCTAGCTCACAACACTACTACCAAAATTAATAGATTGATTTGTTTTGTAAATTCTGGTTAAAATGACTAAACTCACTGCTCTAGGACCTTAAAGCCTCCAATATTCACGAGAACATAAAAAAGTCATAAAAAATGGAACTAAAAGATCATAGAATTTTTCCATTATTTTTTTAAACCTTCCTCATACACTATCTCATCATCATAGCAAATATAGTATATAGCATTTCTTATAGCTATTTGACTAGAGAACACCTTTTTAAAGAAGCATTTGATAAAAGTATAACTCTAAGGGGAAATCGTCTAACTGTGAAGTTACTGCTATTGTGTGCACTGGACTGTATCATGCATCTGGTCGTGTCTGCTCTGGCTTTGTGCAGCAGAGATGTCCTCCAGGTGAACTGGGAGACATGCTGAGAATGCTTGCTTAGCCGAAGCATGCCCATTTCGGAGCATTAGCTATTTTTCTTGCACCTTAAATTGATCGATAATTAAAGTGCTACAGGGGATACTACAAAGGTTCCTGCTCTTACATAGCCAAGTGGAAGGGCTGATATAGCTGAAAAAGATGATTAAAGTCAAATAAATAAAGCCTCATATTCATATGGAAGTTGGGTATGGAATAAGGAAGACAAGAAGAATTTGATGCATTGAATTATGTTGGTAAAGAATATTGAAAGTACCATGGACTGCCAAAAAGCAAACATCTATCTTGGAAGAAGTACAAGTAGAATGCTCCTTGGCAGTGAGGATGGCAAGACCTTGTCTCGTGTACTTTGGATGCACTATCAGGAGAGGTCAGTCCCTGTGAGCAGATATCATGCATGGTAAAGTCGAAGAGCAAAGAAAAAGAGGACAGCTCTTGAAGGATGGATCGACACGGGGCGCTGCAACAATGGGCTCAGACGACAGCTGTGAGGATGGCACAGGACCAAGCTGCATTTTGTTCTGTTATTCGCAGGGTCACTATGAACTGGAACTGACTAGAGAGCATCTAATAACGACAATTGCTGAGCACCTGGATTGTGTCCATCTTCTTACAATTGTGAACAGTGCTGTGATGAACATGAGTGTGAGTGTCTCTGTTCGTACAAAGGCAAAGGCCTCACTGAGCATGTGGAATTTCTGTTCCAGTGGATGGAGCTAGCACATACCACTTTCCAGAGTTTTGCACTTTACAGTCTCATTAGCAGTGTTCCAAGCCCTCTGCACCTCCAATACTTGCCATTTTCTGAGTTTTTGAACTTTGATGCCAGTGCTGGTATGATTATACATCATCATTGTTTTTGGAATCTCTGGGATTGTGAAGATTTTTTCATTTATTTATTGGTTGCCTGGATGTCGTCTTTGTTGAACTGTCCACTTCCTTTGCCCATTTTTAAATTGGATGGTTTGTCTTTTTCTTGTTGAAGCGTTACATTTTGTATATATAGAACTCAATCCCTTGTCTGATGTATTATTGATTGCCAACATTTTTCCCCAGTCGTTCTCTTTTAACCCTTTGAATGAAGTTTCTTCATGCACATAAATGTCTTATTTTGAGGGTCCCCGTCATCTAGTTTGTCTTCTGTGTCTATGTGTTTTGTCTTGTAGTCTGTTTATGCACCGTACAAGGGCCCTCACGTTTGTCCCTATTTTCTCATTGATGATTTTTATTGCTCTAGAATTTACGTTTAAATCTTTAAGTCACATTTAATATATAGGGAAGAAGTATGGGTCCTGTTTCGTACTTCTGCAAATGGAAATCCAATTTTACCAGCACCGTTGGTTAGAGATGATCTCTCCGTCATTATTTTGATGTTACATTGTCACCTTTGTGGCCAGCCTCTTCAAACTGGCTACATAGTCCTTTTGTCATGACTTAGATGTCACTAATAGCTTCTGTTGTCTCTGATGTGCAGCAGTGCAGCTCATCTTGGGCATTTTCTTCCAGCCCTGAAAAGTAGCCATTTTTCAGAGGATACCTGATCCTCTTTAGTGGGAAACTATAGTTAGCACTCATGTTAAATGATATGTAACCAAAAAATCAAGATCTTATCTTATTTATAATTTTTAAATGATACTAGCGATGAACTATGCCATATTGTTTTTTTTTTAATTACAATTTCTATTCTTTAACAGGATTGGCGAGCGTGCTATTCTACTGGGAGGACTCATCGTTGTGTGGGTTGGCTTCTTTATCTTGTTACCCTGGGGCAATCAGTTCCCCAAAATACAGTGGGAAGGTATAGCCACACATATTCTATAATGTTAGTTAGCTCCTATTATTCATCTAAAATTAATCAGTAATGCAATGTGCTAATTTTGTTTGTACAGGTTTACATAATAATTCAATCCCCAATGTCACTTTTGGGGAAATTATTATTACTTTCTGGAAGTCTTCAAGAGAAGATCACAATGAAGAACCAACTGGCTGCCCAATTCAACAAGCCTGGTGCCTTTTCACCCCCATGATCCATCTGGCCCAGTTGCTCACATCAGCCACGCTAATTGGAGTAGGTTATCCAGCCTGCAATGTTATGTCCTATACATTATATTCAAAAATTCTGGGACCAAAACCTCAGGTGGGTCAGTTACCCTGACATTACAGTTATGTGGATTATGTTTTTAAGCACTAACATATTTTGCTACCACTTTATATTTTTTAACAAATAAGGGATTTTTATTATCTTTCATACTTAAAATTTTTTTAATCTACAATTTTTATAAAGAGCTTATAGGACTTCTGTCATTTTGAAATTTACCAAATATTACCATAGAGTTCAAAGATGTCTTGCACTAAGGAAGATGTCTTGCACTAAGGGATTATGAGCTCACCATAAATTTCACAGAAAAAAATCTGAAATATGAATTTCTGAAACATATTTTAGAAAACTACAATTGAAGCTAAATTTTAATTTCATTTGGTTTAATTTTATCTGGAACTAGGAGTAATTACGGATAGAGGAAAACCCAACAGTCTTAAAAGTTTATAGCAGTTATATGTATTTTAAAATAAATTTTAATTATAAAATTACATTTAATATATAAAAATTAAAAATATATAGAAGCAAACTGAAAAAAGTATTAAAGACATGACTACTACTAAAATTATACTTCCAATTCCTGTTTATCTTTGCTTCTGTAAGTAGCTGTTTTTAACACAAAAATAGATCATAGATACTATTTTGTAATCTAACACAAGCAAATAAACAGTATTTTTCATGACATTTAATTTTCTTCCGGAGAAGTATTTGGAGTGGAGGCATTGTACTTCATTTTTTGAGCGTGCCATCACTTACTCATCCTGCTGGTCTCCTAGTTAAAGCAGAGTAAGATTTTTGCAAGATTTTGCCTCTCTCTCTCTTTTTTTAAGCAGAAGTTACTTAAATGTCCACAAAATGCAAGCGTTACTTTCCTCCAGAAAGACTCAACTTATAACTTTACCTTTTCAGGACAAGAACTAGTAGTTCTGTACTGAAAGAAGACAAAGGAAAAATGTTTACATTCTTCTGTTTTGAAAGTATAAATAATAGACAAAAAATTTTGATAATAATTTGGGGTTTGGGTTTCTCATCTAAAGAATTTTATTTTCAAGTTTTCAAAATTAAGGCTCAAAGAAGATTTATAGCAAAATCAGTATATGGGGCTGTAACAAAATTTAAATAAGTTAAAGTGTACGTGGCAGAGGGCACCTCTTGAACACGCCATGCACAAATCACCCACTGTTGACGTCATTTGTACCTTCCCAGTTGCGTTTCCGTGCCTCTCCCGACACTAAGCAAGCAGCTCTGGCCTAATAAAATACTGGGAGAAAATGATTTGTGTGAATTTATAATAGTTTGGTTATAATAGCATCCTCTTTGTTAGTAAATAACCTTGAATAAAAAAATGTTTGTCTTCCCTCTGCCCCCCACAGGGTGCATACATGGGCTGGCTGACAGCTTCTGGGAGTGGAGCTCGGATTTTTGGACCCATGTTCATCAGCCAGGTGTATGCTTACTGGGGCCCACGATGGGCATTCAGCCTCGTGTGTGGAATAGTGCTGCTCACCATCACACTCCTAGGAGTGGTTTACAAAAGACTTGTGGCTTTTTCTCTAAGACAGGAGAGGAATCCAGAGTCAATTAACTAGGACTGTGATGGAAAAGTACTTGATGCTTGGAATTTTCCCAATGTAAGGCTCTGCTGGAAAACTGGTGTGAAGCAGTCTCCAAAAGTCAGACTGGACATTGAGTATTTTGAATAACAACATATCTTAAACAAGAGAGAATTTTACATGGAGCTGTGAACACTAAGATACTATGAAATCATTATGTCATCACTTCCTTGTCCCCCAAATGAACTATTACTCTCGTCACATCTTTTGGGGGCTACATGAAGTAATGAGTGGGTGTCTGTAATGTGACGTTGTACTCTGACTACGAGGCACTTTGGTGGCACAGTTGGGTAAGCACTCGGCTACTAATTGAAAGGCCAGCCATTGGAGCACGAGCTACTGTATGGGAGCAACGTGTCAGTCTGCTCTGTGCAGGTTGTAGCCTGACCAATCCTGTGAGGCAGTTCTACCCTGCCCTATAGGGCCCCTATGAATCAGAATCAACTTAGTGATAATGGTTTGGCTTTTTAGTTGACTCATAATATATAAACTGCTGAGGGGCTATTCAATTAAAGAATATTTTAGTGACATGAAACCATTAGGAAGTTCTTTATGAATTAACTCTAATAGAATAGTTGTACAGATGTTTTAACCTCAATGGAAGTATTCTCATTTGTGGATACATATTTTCTATTTATTAAATATCAATTTTTTCAAATGCCATCAAATTTCCTGATAAAATAATTTTTTTCTGTTTACCATGCTTCTCATCCTTTTTAACCTGTTCTCGGGTTATATGACTAAAGAGTCATGCAAATATTGAATGTGTTGTTATGCGCTGTCAAGTTGGTTCCAACTCCTAGTGACCCTACATAAGGCAGAAGGAAACACCACCTGGTGCTGTGCCATTCTCACAATGTTTCTTATGTCTGAGCCCTTTGTTACAGCCACTGTCTCATCCTTCTCTTCAAGGATCTTCCTCTTTTTCTCTCCCTCCACTTTACCAACTACGATGTCCTTCTCCTGATACCATATGCTAAGTATGTGAGATGAATTCTTGCCATCTATGTTAGACAGGGTTCTCTAGAGAAAACAAGAATGCTAATAATTATATAGATATATAACATAAGAAATAATCTATAAAGCAGTACAAATGGCTCAGTGCAACTCACGTCCGTGAGACAGTTGTAAGACACTGGCAGTCCTTCTAGTCTTCAGGGCCGTGAGATAATCCTCCGTAGAGCAATTCAGGCTATCCGGCCACAGGCAGCAAACAGCAAGGCAGGTAGGTCACCAACAGTCAGCCAGATGACAGGGTCCGACAGTCCCCAGCTCAAGAGATGTTTATTCCAATAGTGTGGCGAAGCAGGTCTTGAAGGAACTTCAAATTAGTGACACAGTCCACGGGTTAGGTGTCCCACAAGTAGTGTAGCTTGCAAATTGATGCACAGAACAAGCAAGACAGCTGCACACTGGTCCGATGATCAAAGAGCAAGAGACACGAAAGGCAAGGCTAGCCGAGCCATTTATCTCTCTGCCCTTCAATTAATCTCACGTGTTCATTGGCCATGTTGGCATAATAAACGTTAACTATCTCACCATCCTTGCCTCTAAAGAGCATTCTGGCTGTACTTCTTTAAAGGCAGATTTGTTTTTCCTTTTATCTGTCCATGGTACTTTCAGTATCCTCCCATTCCACAATTTAAATGCATGAATTCTTCTATGGTCTTCCTTATTCACTGCCCAATTTTTACATGCCTATGAGGCAATCGAAAATACCATGGCTTGGATCAGGCACACCTTAGTCCTCAAAGTAACATCCTTGGTTTTCAACACATTTGAAGAATCTTGCGCAACAGATTTACTTAATGCAACTCGTTTTTTGATCTCTTGACTGCTGTTTCTGTGAGCATTGTATCCCTAGCAAGACAAAATCCTTGACAACCTCAATCATTTCTCCATTTATTGTTTTACTCGTTGGTCCAGTTGTGAGGATTTTGGTCTTCGATACATTGAGTTGTAGTCCATAATGAAGGCTACAATCCTTGACCTTCATCAGCAAGTGCTTCAAGTCTTCCTCACTGTGATCAAGCAATAGTGCCTCATCTGCATATTGCAGGTTATTAAATCATCCTGCAATCCTGATACTGCATTCTTCTTTATATAATCCAGCTTCCCTGATTATTTGCTCAGCATACAGATTAAATAAGTATGTTAGAGGATACAATCTTGGCACACCTCTCCTGATTTAAAAAAAAATCATTTTATTAGGGGCTCATCACAGTCCATACATACAATTGTGTAAAGCACATTTGTACATTTGTTACCCTCATCATTCGCAAAACATTTGCTCTCCACATAAGCCCCTGGCATCAGCTCTTGAATTTTTCCCTTTCCCTTCCCATTGCCCCTCCCTCAAGACCCCTTGATAATTTATAAATTATTTTGTGATATCATGCACTGTCCGACGTCTCT